TTGATCTCAGTAGCGTTTTTTGGTCTTAACTGTGTCGCTCATGTCAGTTGTTTTTTGCGCGCGGTGTTTGTAATGTAGGAATATCTATGTGCTTATTACTTTGCCGTGTTTTGACGCACAGAAGTCATTTGATCGCTCCAGGAAGCTGATCAGATAGCCGAAATGAACGTTGGCAAAAATGAGGGCATAAAAGTCACCGAACTCATAACTGGGTGCAACACGCGAATCACTGTATCAAGAGAATGGGTTAACAGCAAGAACGCGTTACCAACTCAAGTTATTCGCTGAAGAGGAATTCGACTGCGGTTGACTGACAAAGTTCATGGCGTTCTCTTCAGCGCTAGCATTCCTTAAGCGATAAATGACTCGCTGAAGCTTCTGATGCAAGAGGAAAAGTTATGCAGGAGACAATGAAACGTACTTGCGACGAGTAAAAATTCAGAGGTTGGGTTTGCTTCACAGTAATGAGCGAATTTACGTAATATATTACGACCGTTATTTATAAAACGTAAGAAAATCTCCTTTAATTAACTTCATTATCAATTCGGATATCTAAAACAATGCTAGCTGTATTTGGGCTTATTCGCGACTGCTCTCATTGAAAGCAGAAAGTGGTTTATTTAGCCCTGAATTGGTAGTGTTTTACGGTTTGAAACCCATATGACAGATCAAATGTGACGAATGAGCTGTTTAGGTAAAACCAACTTGGAAGCCATTTCTTTTATTACGTATCAGCTGGACTGCAGTAGTACAGCCTTTCCCGGATCACTTTTGAGATTTGGGTTTTACATGCTCAAATTAAGGCCTTGTTCCGCTGCCTACGGATGATGGCCTCAGTTTTATTGCAAGCATATTTGTCTGTAGAGTTTCTGACTCACAAATATAAATCTTCCGGTCACAAATATAAATCCGGCCAAGTCATTCAACACTGACCCTTCCAAGGCAGATAAATTGATACCACTATGTGGGAATTAAGGAGGAGATTCAATGCCGCATTAATCACTGAACTGCGTGCATTGCCTTCAGCAAATACGACGCAGCTGAAAACTAGCATTTAAATGGTAAACAGCGCCACACCATATGCTGAATGGGAAAAAAGTGCTATAACTCATGTAGATGTACGGAATACCGACACTCAGTGGTTACAAACTTTTCCTTTTTTCCCTGAGTTAATGTATATCGTAAAATGTTATATATATGTGCACCACATGTCGTCGGCCGTCACAGGAGACTTACTCTTAAACGCAGTCTTGTGTAAAGCCTCAAACTTTAGTAGTTGGCAAAGCGTCTTAAATTGTGTTCCGCCCTTTGCTGATGAATAGGTGTGTTTACGGCCAGAAAAGATTAAAGACGGTTATTCAGACTATTTGTTTGGCTTAGTGTATGTATATCACGAATAATTACCGACTTATAGACGTTAGGATGCGAACTTTACTTTCTAATGACAAAGAAATCGAGGATACCAGTGGCAAATTAGCCGACTGCGAAAAATAGGGCATTCCCAAATTCACATTAGTGGCATTTCTAAAGTTGATATAATTCGACTGAAGTTCAGACTTTTCGATCAAAATGTTTTGACAGCTGCAATACTTGCCACCGATTTGTATATGCCTCTTTAAACCGTTTCTTGCAGCTCTTCCAAACAATCAGTGCAAATATTTCGCTTACAGAGTCTTGACAATTTCGGGCTGCTAAAGAACGCTGTGCGTTAGTTTCATAATTAAACTACTACGTACATCCGGCCTCTTTGTTCATGCTCTATGCTAGGAAACTAATGCACTGTACCGACCTCCGTTCACGGAGACAGTACCGTGATGCAAAGTAAATGGCAACGATTTGTTTACACACTTCTAATAAGATTGAAAATCTACGACACGAATAAAATTTTATTTTATCCACTTCATGGTATTCATCCAAAATAAAATGTCCGTGAATTATCATTATCTGTTTCGGATAACAGATGACAGTGAAAAGGTCTTGCCATACAGCTTTACGTATTAACAGCGATAATGCCATCTCTTTTGTCACGTTCGTACCTTTAGTTCGAGTGTCCTTCAAAAATATAGAACATTGTGGCAGGCTTAAGGAGCTCACTCATCCTCAGTTACAGCTGCCTCGTTAGTTGACTGGTTCGGCTTTCATGACAGGTCTTCGTTGCCAAAAAAGCTCCACCGATGTTCGCCCTGGCATACGGTTTCTTACTTTTGCCGTAGCCACCACTATAGTGCAGACACCGAAGCTACTGTTTTGTAGATCAATCAACGACGCTATATACGATCGTAGAAATCATGTTTAAAAAAGCGAATGTATACTCCAAACTGCTAGCAAAATCACGAAGTAATTGCTACGAACTTCAAAGTAGTCAGTTAACATAACTACCGAGGCCGGTGATAATGGCAGCAGATCCTTCTGTACCTTGTAAGGAAGATCAGTCTAAGGAAATGTTAATCTCGCTACTAATTGACATGAAAGAAACATGGACAACCATGCGTATTTGTCCTTGACGAGCAACTGATGCGATTGTTTAAAAAATGAAACTGC